GTTACCTCGTGGGTTTTTTTATTTCACAACATTTGACTCATTGTTTCTATTCACTTATACTCAGGTGTTTAATGGATACTCCAGTTGGTTAGTGCTAATGATCTGTCTTACTCTGTTGATATAGATATTGGGCACTCTACGTTATTACTTACGTTTTTGGCAGGCTTAGTATCGGTAGAATTCTCTTTTGAAGCTTTACTGTTATATATATATATATATATATATATATATATATAGTTTATGCCAACTTAGGTAATCCGTATGGGTACTGAAATGATACATATGACACACTCATATACACTCTCCCTCCTCACATCCTCACTTCGTTAATTTTACGTATACTTGATGAGGTCCGTCAAAAACGTGTGAATTTCTTTTCATTTTCATTTCAGCTTTTGGAAGTAAAGTCTGATGATCCAGAACCCTGTTAAAGGGGTTATGGTGAAATAACAATTACATGGAATGTTAACGTGGTCTGTCTTTTATTCAAACATATCTATATATATATATATATATATATATATATATATATATATATGTGTGTGTGTGTGTGTGTGTGTGTGTGTGTGTGTGTGTGTGTGTGTGTGTGATAAAGTTGTCTGATGACAGGATACCCAAGATCCTAATGTACAGCCAGTTAGATCAGGGCTACAGGAATGTAGGACGCCCATGGCTAAGATAAAAAGACAAGCTGAAAAGCAACTTGTCAGCTGTCAATATACCACATAACACCCTTGAGCGTTTAGCTTTGGAGCGGGTAGAATGGAGATCAACGTGTTTTAGTGGACTCAGCAATTTTCAGTCTGCTTGTCTGAATCAACTTCAAGAAGCGAGAACAAGATCTAAAAGGTCACCTAATGTAACAGTCTTTTATTCATTTACGCTGACGTGCCTTAACCGACTCGGCCACAAAGGAGCGTTCGGTAGGCAAGGTCGAATTTACTTTATAAACTTCAATCTTCCATGAATCTCGTACATTCATAACTGCTCATGTCGTATCAAATGTAAACAAATGACGTCATACATTAAGAATTGGACAAAGTCCGACAATTTATTTATGTTAAACATAAAAATGTCTTTAAATGACGGTTCCGTATAGGATGCAGGTTCGAATCCTGTCAAAGGACGAATATTTTCTATGAAAATTTCTCGGACATTCAGGCCGGTAAATGTTATTTAATACTGTTTATTATAAACAGAGCATTTACTTAAATACTTGTATCTATAAAAAGAATGTTAAACATAAAAATATCTTTAATAAATTGTCGGATTTGTCCAATTCTTAATGTATATATATATATATATATATATATATATATATGTGTGTGTGTGTGTGTGTGTGTGTGTGTGTGTGTGTGAAAATATTTAGAAAATAAGAAAGAACTCGTTAGGTAAATAATCCCAAGTTCTTTAGTATTTTTGATATACTTTTTAAAAAAACAGTGCTCGATACAAAAGTAGAGCCTAAATATAATGGAATATAATAATATAATAATATAATAATAGCCATGGAATAATTATATATATATATATATATATATATATATATATATATATATATATATTTTTCAGGATGAGTGTTAATTGCATACCATAAGTTCTTTTTTATCGTGAACTCTATAGAGGTCATAAAAATGTTGGTAGACCTTGACTCAGGTATAAAGATAAACTGAAAAGCAACCTTTCTTGCGTCAACATTCCATTCAAGAACTTTGAAGAGGTAGCTATGAAGAGATCAGAATATTGTTCTCGTTGCCATTCAGAAATAATACACCATCAAGAAGAAAGCATCAGTCGACTGCGTAAAACATGAAAGCAAAATAAGACAGCTAACAGTGTTCCTACTGCACTTGGACACAATACATTATCCTGTACTGTTTGTGGTCTTTTGTGCAATTCTCGAGCCGTTCTCAAAAGTCATGCCTGTGATAGGCATGCAGATAAATAGTTCGTGGTCGCCGGAACCTCATACATCGAACGCGAAGGAAGTGTCCATTATATATATTCAAAGCGAAAGGAGTGACGTAGGACATGTTTCATTAAGTCAAAGGGCTTTGAAGACAGATGACTGGAGCACCGTGATCAGTTTCGTCCATCTCTGAAGCAAAGACACCATCAAAATCCTGCCTTAACAAATTTTATCTCTCAGTGGCGCTTTGTTGCCCGCAGTAAGGCAGGGCTAGTTCACACTTAAGAAAGCACAAATAAAAAATATATGTCTTTACCCTACCTGATTTTCCCCACAATAGCCGCTGCCAGCATGCATAAGTGTAAAACGAACGGTACCATCGAATGCTGACGATCATTTATCCGTCACGATAGGAGAGCCCACCATATATATATATATATATATATATATATATATCCACCGAAAATCAACTCATAAAAATGATCTCATAAATTTAATTTCTATTGTTCATCAAAATTTCATTTGCATCGACACAAAAGGGAATTGTATATCTTTCGTGCAGAAAGACACGAGTGTCACGTGACGGCAGGT